TTGCACTTGGTTACTTTCCTGGTAGTTTAGTGTGTTTTAGTTGCTTTTGAAATTTTGTAAGGGAAAAAACCTAAATATATAAAAATAGACAATATAATCAGCTCCTAAGTGACAAACCATGCAAACAGCAGTTATTAACTCATCTCCACTTTTGTCTTGTTTATGCCTCTACCACTTTTTACCCTCCCAAATTATCTTGAAATAAATCCATGATAATGTATTTCAAATGTAAGCAAATATTTCAGTATATATCTCTAAAAGATAAAGATGCTTAGGGTGGAAGACTTAATGTGTTAACATTTTTATTTTAAATGTTTTTGTGTTAAAATGGCTGCCAGATATATTTTGACATAATAGAAGAGTGTTTTTAAGGAAATAGTAAATCCACATAATTTGTTCTTAGTTATTATGAGATTTAACATTACTGTAGAAAATTTGACAGATTTATATGTTGAACCAAACAAAAACTATTAACGTTTTTCTCTTACTAGCATGAAAGCATTTCTCAAACAAGTAGTTATATTACATTGGAAAGTATAGCAAATTAACAGATAGCTGCTTATTTTCTAACAAAACATAGTCACCCTTTTAGATTTCTGAGTTTTAAAACTGATTTGATATTTTGTTCTGATCAGTTTTTAATTAGTATAAGTGAACCGAACAATTCTCCCACCTGCGCCCCAGTAAATCTTTGGCACTCCTATGAAGTGATAATTCTTACTTTACAAAGTTAGAGGGCCTTGTGGTATAACTGTCTTACCCCTATGATAATAACAAATGTGAAAATTTCACAGAAGTGTAACTTTCCAGAAAAGTACCTAGTTTATGTGCAAGCCTTTTCTGTATTCTGCCAGAGTAGATAAATGATTAAGTAAAATAGACCTTTTCTCTTAAATAACCTGCATATACTTTTTGGTTTTGGTCTGATTGATCATACCATTAATACTGACTTTAGAGGAGCAAATCCAGTAAGTACTTTGCATATTTTGGGGGGATTCTAGAAATAGCCACAGAAAATTCTAGTCTTTTTAACTAATAGGGATGTTTATTCATTAATTAATATGTAGATATACATTAACATACATTAAATATAGATTTTTTAAAATATGAACAGAATTGAAGATTGATATAATTGAGGTAAATTCAAATTTTGTATCTGAACTTAAGATTTGAAATAATAAAAATGTTTCAACTCCATTTTTTAAGTAATTGAGAACGATCCTGTCATCTTTAACCTTTTAAGATACTCTTTGTAAGTCATAATTTTTATTTCTGGTTTGTATATATATCGTATCATTGTTTTCTAAGATATTTCCCTTTTTTTCCTTCCATTTTGAAATTTTTATTTACTTCTAAAATAAATTTCATTGTATGTATTTGAGGTTTACAACATGATATTATGAGATACATATAGATGTAATACATAGAGGTATTTAGCAACACTGATTGATAGTATGGTGGTTACTCTCGTCAAGGAAATTAACATGTCATCTCACATAGTTACTTTTTGTGTGATAAAGCAGCTAAAATCCTTTTGGGGGCGGAACACTATTATGGGAGGATCTTTATCTGACACAAGCAATCAGTATAACTTGGTTCTTTGTACCCTCAGTGATTCCCCAACAATAAAAATAAATGAATAAAAAGAAATTTTGAAAAAAGCAGCTAAAGTATACTTATTTAACAAAATTTCTTATACAACACAATTTTATTAATTTGGATCCTCATGTTATACAGTAGATTTCTAGATTTGTTCATCCAACATTTCTGCGATTTTGTATTTTTGACCTACATCTCCTGATTTCTTCTCTTCCTTTCCACCCCTCCACACATGGTAACTAACCACTGTTTGATTCTCTTTGTATTTGAGATTTTTTTTAATTCCACATATGATTAAGATGATGTATTATTTTTCTGTCTGTGTCTGGCTTATTTCACTTTTCATAAGGTTCTCAAGGTCCATTTGTGGTATGGCAAATGGCAGGTCTTTTTTTTAAGGCTGACTGATATTCTGCTGTATATGCCACATTTCCTTTGTCCATGTATTTGTTGATGGGCATTTGCAGTGTTTTTATATGCTGGCTATTCTGAATAACGCTGCAGTGAAGGCTGGAGCACAGGTATCTTTACCAGGTGGTGATTTCATCTCCTTTGAGTAGACGGGATATTTAGATGAGGTATTGCTGGGTTGTGTTACAGTCCTATTTTTAATTTCTTTAGGAACCTTCATACTGCTTTCCATAATGGCTATACCAATCTCCGTTCCCACCAACAGTGTAGTTGGGTTCTCTTTCCTTCACATCCTTACCAACATTTATCTCTTCTTTTTTTTTTTTTTTTTTTGCAGTTTTTGGCCGGGGCTGGGTTTTGAACCCACCACTTCCGGCAAATGGGGCCGGTGCACTACTCTTTGAGCCACAGGCACCGCCCCATCTCTTGTTTTTTTGATGTTAGCTGTCCTTAAAGGTATGGGGGTGATATCTTTGTGCAGGCAGTCTCTGTGTTACAAACATCTAACTGACATACAGTGAATGGAGGCTATTCCAGGTACAAGTAATAGAAAAATGTACCTGTTCCAACTTACATATGAATTCTACTTAAGAACAAACCTACAGAACCTATCTTGATTATAACCCAGGGACTGCCTGTGGTGGGTTTGATTTGCATTTCCCTATGATAAGAAATGTTGAACACTTTTTCATATGCCTATTAGCTATTTTTATGTCATCTTGGGAGAATGTTTGTTTATGTCCTTTGCCCATTTTTTAATTGGCTTATTTTTTGCCAATATCTTTCTAAAATGGAGGTTGCAAACTTTTTAGTACTTTAATCCTATGTATTTATGTACATTTAGAGAGGAAGATCATATCTTAATGTAAAGATTTGGACTTAAGCTTAATGTAAGATTTGTACAAGAATTGCAAAAGTTGTAGGTAATATAAAATACTGCTTGAACTTTCTTAACAATATAAGCTTTTGAAAGGGAAATTCTGAAATCTTTGCCACTCATCATGAATTTTACTAGGGAGAGAAAGAAATCCTTGAATGGTGTATCTGGGTAAGACACCAACTGTTAGGAGTAGGCATCTACAGAGCAAAGATAGTATAATGTATTTATATTTGACCACTTTCTCAAAAAGTAAAGGAAATACCAATTTGATCTTCGTTATCAGGTACAAGCGCTGTCATTGGGGATTTTTTTTTTTTTTTTTTTTTTGCTGACTAAACAGCTTTTAAAATTATTATTTTCAATTATTGCTTGGCAAAGCAATGTTTTAAATAACTAAATGTGATTTGAGTTTTACTTCTTGAGAAATTTCACTGTATATGTTTTTACAATCTTGAAATAACTTTTCTTAGTAACTGGGGCAATTGAACAAAGGAACAGGCTGCTTTGTAATGTTCTAAGCTCTCTATTCATGGAAGTGTTTCAGGGTGCAGACTCACCCTAACCATTCCTCCAAATAAGCATATACAAATGAACACGTAAGGATATTAGGGAATGGATTTTTATTCTTTCTTGGAGAAATCAGTCATTCTGATTTTATGACTAATAAATTTTGAATTCGAAATGTTACAAAGTATAATGTTGCTAATTTTGCTTTAATTCCAATTTTAGCAACTTAGTATGTGTTTGGATTTGATTGAAATCTTCGTGGAAAGTAGTTTTTAGAAGAGTCAGTGTATTAACTTGTTTATCATATTTTCTATAAACGTAGACTATATCTTATAATTTAATATTTAGCTTACTAAAGCAGGAAGCCGCCTTAGTTTCCCATGGGAAAAATTAGTTGGATTTTTTTAGCTCTCACATATAAACTGCTGATTTCATTTTTTCTTGATCCATTGACAGATTTCTTACTGAAAATTTGAATGATATATAGTAATATAGTTGAACAGTTGTAGTTATATAAGAAGTAATTTAAGAAAATAGTTAGTGGTATTTAGTGTTTTTCAGTAGACTTACAAAGGTAGAAATCAATATAGCAAACACTGTTTGAACACTTAGTATGGACCAAGCACTATGCTAAACACTTCACATTCTATTTCTTATCCAGACTTTACAACTCCTTGAGGTAGGTATGAGTATTAATCACATTTTATAGGTGTAGGGTTGTAAAGTAACCAGCCTCGAATATTGGGCTTTATGTTTTCTAGGGTTTTTTTTTTTTTTCAAATCAGTTAACTTAATTGATCATGTCTTATATCAGGCTTTCAAATTTCTTTAATATACATTTCATCTAATATTGATAGATCTCAAGGCTAGAGTATTTACAGGCACAGATTCTGTAGCTCTTTTTTTTTGTTGTTGTTATTTTATTGCAGCTGTTGACCTAAGACAGATGTTTTCCCTGTGTCCAGTTCCCCAAGTTGCAGCAAAACCCACTCAGTTATTAAAGCACTGAAACATTAACAGTATATCTCACTACTTTGAAAATTAATTCAAACTTTATGTCGGCTTTTATTTTGCATGCAAACCCATAAAGCTGAAGGTTCTTCTCTAAATTCCTGCCAGAAAAATAGTAAAAGGTTTTGTTTTGGTCTTTCTAGCTGTTTTTCCCTATTTGCTGTTCCTTATATGTAAAAATCCTATATTTCTAAATAGTGTAGTTCAGATACAGACCAGATATGTGTGCTATCTTCCATGATTTTATTTTTAAGATTCTTAGACAATTAGCAATAAAGTTACTGTAACATTCTGTCATAAGTTTATTTTTTATTAAAATGATAATATTGTATTGTTTCTTTTACTTATGATTGTTTTTTGCATTGTTGCATGTTATTTTAAAGACCTAGCTTTCTTCATTAAACAATCTGATTTCCTTTAATCCATGTAAAGATCTTACTATTAGTTATAGTCATGTTATTTCATTAATGCATTTTTGTTTATACATTTATCCTATTTAATTAAGGATAAAACTCCTGTGCTTTTTAAAAACCTTTCCAAAACTAAATAGAGAAATTAGTGATTTTTAAATATTTCTTTTTGTCTGTTTTAGGATGGCTACCATAGAGTAGTTAATATTGTGCCAAAGAAATCACCACTGCTAGACAGACCTGGTGAAGGAAGCTACTACCGTAGATATTACAGTCATGTTGATTACCGAGACTATGACGAGGGCCGCAGTTTTTCTCATGATCGAAGAAGTGGTCAACCTGACAGAGGAGTATGTAAATTTCCCCCATGTACTAATTGTTATTTCTTTGAAGTTTAAAATTCATGCAATTTAAAAAAATTATGTGACAGCCACGAAAGCTGTTGAATAAACACTTTCTGGTTGACGCTCTGTTGAATTGCTTGCTGGAGCTGTCAGGTGGGAACTATTAGTCAAGAATTTGGGGGTGCTGGATAAAGTGGGTAAGCACTCTGGTTAGCTCTATCTAAATGAAAGTAATTCCAACTAGCCTGCTTTCTTATCCCTTAAATTGTCAGGGATTTGCAGAACTGCATAAAGGTAATCTGTTGCTTTGGTACTTAATAAGTTATGAGCAGGTGGTTACCATCTCTGAATGGATGTACCCACTTATAATTTCTTTCTTTTCGTCCTGATGAAATGCTTTGGGTGAGCTTGGGTTAAAGTTTTTGATAGTTGCATTTTTCTTATACTTGTTATTAAAGTCTATTTACTAATTCAGATTAGAAACCTCTCAAAACATTGTCATATACTAAGCACTTTTCAGATGTTAGCTAGTATTATTACTATTACTATTATCATTTAGTATTATTACTATTACTGTTATCATTTGTATCTCTTGGTCATACTTAATAATGTAGAAGTTTAATGTTGTAGTAATCTGTCATTTAACTTGATTGAAACTGTTCCTTGATGTACTTCTTCTATCTTAGCTTGCATATGGACAATAATCCTGCGCTAGACTGTTTTCCTACCTTTCTCTCTTTTTTCCCTTCCCTGCCATTATAATATGGTAATTAATAGTACATATTCAACACTGATCATAATAAATTTTGAGCACACATTGGCTGTTGGAATTAGTTTCCATGCTTTACACATGAAGAAATGGAGGTAAGGTGATTTACCTAAGGTGGGTGTTACGGGAGTCCAGTTCTTTTACTACGTCGTAGTGACCCTGAACATTTCCAAAGTGGTAATGAAACAATTAGTGTTTTCTTGTGTTTGAAGTTTGGGGTGTTATAGCTTCCTTACTTCTCATAGAATTGATTTTTACTTGATTTACTTTTGAAATGTCATGCTATTTCTTTAGGAAGATGGATTGGGTATTAAAAAGTATATACCATGCATTATTTCTGCTGGATTTTGCCATCAGACCCATTCCCCACGTAGTCTTAGGGGAGAAAGTATTTGGTCTTAGCATCAACATTTATCTTTCTTATGAAGACCCTGTGGGAGTTTTATATTCATTGGACCAGTTTGTATTTGAAACCTCATAAACATGATTTTTTTCCCAAAAACTTGTAGCATAATAGTGCTTCAACAGTAGTTTTATTTTCTATTATTGTTATCAATTGTGTTTGTCTTGATACTACATAAGATTTTTTCTTTAAATTCCCTTCAAACAGTAAATACCCTTGTGATCTTTAGGACTCTCAGGACCCTAATTCTTAATCTAATTCTTATCTAGAGTTCAATAATATAAAGCAACCAAATTACTTGGTCCAATATTATTATTGCTTTTGAATTTTTAATTTCCCTTTGTTTAATTTTGAGAAAGAAGATAAATACATTTTATTTATATAAGTAACAGGGTATGTGATACTAAAGAGGAAGGTACAATTTTTACTTTACAATTTTACTTTATAATTTTTACTTTAGCTGAATCATTTTTTCTGCTTAAATAATTTGCATATTTTATGATTTTAAAGTAATTAGATATGGATTGCTATGTGATTCTTTTATGCAGATATGTCTGTCTCAGAGGACAAAATATACTTCACTGGAATAATTTTAAATTTAGTGCTCTAAATTTACTAACTTCATATATCACTCAGTGACAGTTTCTTCTTATATTGTTTCCAGTAGTGGTTTTTAATGGGAGATAAGGTAAGAAAAGGATACCTGAGCAAGAAAAGGGGAAAGTGGCAATTTTTTCATTGGGCTTGAATCTGAAAATTGATGACAAAACTTGAAAGAAAAGTAAAATGAAAGATTGAGAAATGTATGTTTGGTTAAATTTAGCCTTTATCCTCAAACAAAACTTAACTTTGTGATGTTAGTATATGTATCTTTGGCAATTAGGTAGTTTGCATCTACCAAAGAAATAATTAAGGCATTTTAATAATGATACATGATACCACAGGTACTCAGTCTATTATTTTAGTGTTGAAATGAATAACTTGCTGTATCTTTATACCTTTGAATCTTAGGGAAGTTTGGAAAAGTATTTTTGCCCTCATGGTATACTAGTTTCCAATAGTGTTCTTAGATATATTTTAACATATATTACATATTATATATCAAATTAATATATATTTAACTAGATAACCAAGGACCTAAGTAGCTTTTTTATGTTACAGGATGAATCTGGTTACAGATGGGCAAGAGATGATCATTCTGGAAGCCGACAGCCTGAATACAGGTACAAAGGTCAAAACAGTGACACAAATACTTTAAGAATTTAGTCTACTAAATTCTGAGACTACTTTGATTCTTAACTCACTGAGGTGGCTGCTGTTGAAATCTAATCTCAAGGCATATAGATGAAGTATTTTATTAGGATTTAAAACTTTGAAAGCAATAAGCATTCTTTTTGTGATTATGTAGTGTTCTACGTCTATTGGCATTTTTAATTGATAAAATACATATTTAATAATATTGTAATGATTGATATATTCTTATAAGTTAATCATTAAGTAATTAATATGTGGTACAGATTGTGGGATTTGTTTAATCATAAATTAGGTCAGTTTGCTCAAGAACATTATTTTCAGAAGTACTCTCCTTGAAAATACTTAAGTCCTTACAAAGTGTCCCCTATCGTAAGACATTCTCTGCGTTGCTTTGTTTTAATTGATAAAGTTCTGTTGGTAAAACACATTTTGGAAGTACCTCGGTCATTGTTAACTCTGATTACTTATAGAGAGCAGCTGATAGAATAGTTTGGGGAGAGTGATGAACACATGTAACTAGGCTGATTGTTCATTTTTGTTTGTTTAATATCAGAGTGGTGGTATTAGAAGTTGTAAAAGGAGCCATTTAATGATCTCTTAGGGAGATAATTGAATTCCAGTCTCATAGAAGTTGTCAAAGATTCAGTTGCCACAACAGGATAGGGTGCCCAAAATAGACAGCAAGATTCAATGGATCAGACCAAGGCAGTTTGTTCACAGCGCAGTAGTCAGCAGGAGCATCAGCATCATAGTGCAGGTTCCCTGTCCCCAAATCCCACAGGGTAGTGTGATAGGCAGGTTTGGTGGCCATGTATACAATAGGAAGTACTTTGGCTAAGGAACCCTGGTGGAGAACTGAGTACCTTTTGTGGCAAGTAGGAAGCAAGCCCATCCTTTCATGGGGAGTGAGCAGCCATACAATAGCCACATTTTGGTCACCTTGACTTTTTGTCTCTGTAACCAGCTCTAGACAGTGTTTGTATTGGTGAATAGTTAGGTCTTACAGTTTGGCATACACCATAAGTGAATATGCAGGGACATTCAGAACCTATGGCAGAGTCTCCCTCCCTAAAGAAGCAGCAGTGGAAAGAATAGATCTGAAAAAATGCTTTGATAAAATTCAGCACTAAGTATTTATAAAAACTGATAAGCTATCAGTATAAATTAGAAAATTTCATTTAAACATACTATAGCAAAAAGCCATAATAAATAATAGGAATAAATCTATCGAAATTGTGAGAAACCTATATAAGGAAATTATACATCATTTCTAAAGGTCATAAAGAAGATCTGAATAAAAAGAGCAGCACAGAATATTCTTGGCTAGGAAGAGTCAGTAACACAGAGATGTCATTTCTCTTCAAAGTCAATATGGTTCTAGTCAAAAATCCAAGATTATTGTTTGGCATGGAAGTTGACAGACTGATTCTAAAATTAATATGAAAGAGTTAAGGGCCAAATGACAAAAAGTAATCTTGAAAAAGATGTGAAGACTCAAGATACCATACATCCGAAATTATAAGGTAGTAGCATTGTAAACATTTTTGTACTGACACAGTTCTCAGATAGAGCAGTGAAACAGAATCTAGTATCTGGGTGTTGGGGCATAGTAGGAGTGGCATTTATAAGTTGTCTGTGGTAAGGATATGCCAGGTAATTTAGCTAGTCATTCTATTTTTAAATAACATTTTTGGATAACTAGTTTATTTTTCTCTATTAATATAAATAGTTTGAAATTTCCCTTAAGCATTACTGTAACTGTCTGTGATTCTCATATATAGTCATTTATACTGATTCTGACATAGTATACAAGATGTCCTAAAAAGTCACCCCTAAAGTCACCAGATACAGGGAAAATAGGAAATTATAGCTAAACGTATCTTTGTTTACAAAGTATTTATTACAGAATTTTACAAAATGTTCACTATGTGTTGGCCAACTCTGAAAAATTTTCATTAGTTGATCAGTTTTCAGAGCTATAGCATGGGCATTAAAGTAAGACATATTCTTCATTTTCAGGTTATGGGCTTGATCTACATGGCATATTAATTCATTTGTTAAATATTTCTTATGTGTCCAGTATATATGTCAGATGATGTTTTAGCTTAGGGGAATAGGAAGCCTCTATTGGCATGTAGCCTAGATTTTTGTATAAATTACAGATAACAAATCACAAAACAAATAATTTTGGGGAACGTAAATGCCAGATTGGAGCAGCTGCTGTTTGGCACCACGTCTGTCTTTGCCATTTTGGTGTGAAAGCCTATCTTGGCCTGCTTCATAAGAAGTCAGAAACCCAGATTTTTAAAATCTGAAATCTCTTGGCTTTTCAGTGTTTGTAATTGCTTAAAAACAGAATTTGCAATCTCTGGTATAGGGTAAAAATCTGGGACTCTGTAATGAAGAGCCTAAAATATTGTATAATAGCAGCTTGTCTAGTGAGATTGATGATTAACCCTGGCTATACTCTAAATTATGTGGAAGTCTTTTTGCTTTTGTTTTTTGTTTTTTGTTTTGAGACAGAGTCTCACTTTGTTGCCCCAGGCTTAAGTTGCAGTGGTGTTGTAACTGACGGCAACCTCAAACTCCTGGGCTCAAGTGATCTTGCCTACGCATCATGAGTTGCTGGGACTACAGGCATGTGCCACCACACCGGGCTAATTTTTCTATTTTTTAGTAGAGGCGGGGTCTTGCTCAGACTGATCTGGAACTACTGACCAGTCCACCTGCTTCAGCCTCCAGAGTGCTAGGATTACAGGCATGAACCACCTCACCCACTCCACCAGGCTAGTTTTTCTATTTTTAGTAGAGGCAGGGTCTTGCTCAGGCTGGTCTGGAGCTCCTGACAAGTCCACCTGCTTTAGCTTCCCAGAGTGCTAGGATTACAGGCATGAGCACCTTGCCTGGACCAGGGTTTTTGTTTTTTTAATAGCTAATGCATGAACCTCACACTTGGAGATGTGATTTAGTTGGTCTTGGGTAGAGCATGGGTACCAGTATTTGTTTGTTTGTTTGTTTGTATTTTTAGAGTGTTCCACGTTTATTTGAACGTATGAGTAGATTTTTTTCATGGGAAAATTTTTTTTTAATTAAATCATAGCTGTGTGCATTAATGCAATCATGGGGTACAATGTGCTGGTTTTACATACAATTTGAAATGCTTTCATCAAACCGGTCAACATAGCCTTCACAGCATTTTCTTAGTTATTGTGTTAAGACATTTATATCCTACACCTAGTAAATTTCACATGTACCCTTATAAGATGCATGGTAGCTTCATAAGAAAGCTATAAATTGGTTTCATAGTTCTTGAAATACTCTGCCAAGAGGAATATGTTCCAGCTCCATCCATGCCCAAGTGCCCATCAAGCCATGAATGGATCAATAAATTGTGGTATATGTACACCAGGGAATATTATGCCGCCTTAAATAAGGGTGCCAGTATTCGTAAAAATTTCATCAGTTGATTCTGATATGAAGCTAGACTTGAAGCTGATGTGAAGTTAGCCACTGATTTAGTAAATAGTGTGGAGTGACAGAAGTCCAGAGAAATCACAAGATGATGTTAATAATTACCTTCCTGACCACTTATCTCATTTATAACTTTATATATGTTTCCATAGCTTTGCGTATGTTTCTAAAACTCATGTTGATAAGAATCACTTAGATACTTGTCACAAATGAATATTTTTGTAAAAATAACAAACAACAAAATAATGAAGATTTGGGGTCTTTTATCTGCAGAGATTCTGATTCAGTAAATGGAGTCTTGAAATCTGTAATTTTAACAAGGCTTCTGGATGATTATCACACAGAGGGTCTGGAGACTGAAATTTGAGAAACATTGACCTGTATTGTCTGCTGATGACTAAAAACCTGTATCTTTGGTTTTGGTTTCTCCTTTGAATTCTAGATCTCTATATTCAACTTGCTTTCATTCGGGAATCCTAGATTTTTCACTAAAATGAAGTACACCCTGTTTGCAAAGAGTTGCCTGTTCTCCACACTTGTTAAGCACATCAACCACATTCCTAGCCTTCCTTGCAGTTAGTACTGGGCATGTGGCCAGGTATCTCCAGTGGAACGTGAGTAGGAGTTTTACTTGCATGTGTGCTCTTCCATGCACATTGACCCTCCTGTATTGCAGGGTGGGCCTCAGAATGAGACGACATCAAAAACGTGACCTTGAAAGCCACATGCTGAAGTCATAGAGTAGTAATAACCCTGGGTCCACAGATTTCCTTGAGCAGAGTCTCACCTTCCTGAAATGCCTTAACTAGGCTCTTTGATGGTTATCAGATAAACTTTTTTTTTTTTGAGACAGAGTCTCACTTTATCCTTACTTTATTGCCCTCAGTAGAGTGCTGTGGCATCACAGCTCACAGCAACCTCCAACTCCTGGATTTAGGCGATTCTCTTGACTCAGCCTCCCGAGTAGCTGGGACTACAGGCGCCCACCAGAATGCCTGGCTATTTTTTTGTTGCAGTTTGGCCAGGGCCGGGTTCGAACCCGCCACCCTCAGTGTATGTGGCCAGTGCCCTATCCACTGAGCCACAGGTGCTGCCCTAGATAAACTTCTCATGTGTTTGAGTCATTACATATTTTGCTATTTTTCTTATAGCAATTTAGACATATTTTGTTTAGACTGTTTTAGGCATTAGAGACAGAATTGAATAACACAGATGAAATATCTACTCCTAACATACTCTATTTGTGAGAGCTCTTAGTCTGTATCTGGAATATTTACTTAGTCTATATCTGCAATCTGCCTGCCTGTATCCCCGAGGCAGGCAGATTGCTTGAGCTCATGAGTTGGAGATCAGCCTGAGCAAGAGGGAAACCTTGTCTCTACTAATAGAAAAACTGAGGCAAGATAATGGCTTGAGCCCAAGAGTTGGAGGTTGCTGTGAGCTATGACACCATGGCACTCTACCCAGGGCAACAGCTTGAGACTCTGTCTCAAAATTA